TCTGTTTCCTCATTACTCTAACCCCGTGTTTTCAGAGTGTTTCATGGAGTCACCAGTTCTGTGGGATGTGAGATAGAAAGAATACTGAGGTCAAATACATTTAGGGAACGCTGCATTAAGAGGCTTAACCTTTGCTTTCCTACATCCATTTTCAGAGCCTTTAATAAGCCAACATGGTCTTTCTCTCTCTCATGTGTAATGTAAAGAGAATGTAAGAGTTATAGTATACAGTGGTGATACTAAAAATATTTAACACCTGGTATGGCCTAGACTCCAATCAACCAGAATGGACCTCAGCCATAAACCGTTGGTACCACTGTACGCTTAAGAATGGAGTCGGCTGAATATCAGCCCATATAGTAAGCATTGTTTCCCAAAAGTTTTGCCCAAAGAATTCTCTTTTCCGTGGTATCCCACAGAAGTGGTGAAAAAAGCTCTGGCCCATGCTGAAACCTCATCTTTCTAGGGATGAGGCCAGGCCTCATGATCCTGGCTTATCGGGGGCAAGAGAGAGGCAGCTCTGGCAGAGGCTCCTGGCAGCACGAGTTGATAGATGTGACCACAGCTACAGCAGAAACAGAAATCAGAAGACAGATGTCCCTCTGTCCCAGCTGCTCCTGAGACTCTGTCCCTGGTGGGTTAGCAGGTGCCTGTCCAGGTGATGTTTCCGGCCAAAGCTCTTCTCACAGCGAGGGCACTGGAAGGGCTTCTCCCCAGTATGGGTCAGCCAGTGTCTCACCAGGTGGTGCCGTCGGCCAAAGCTCTTCCCACACTCGGTGCACACGTGGCTCTTGGGCACCGGTGGGGTGTGCTGCCGTCTCCTCGCCCCAGGGCTCTCTCCAGCTTCTTGGCCTTTGCAGGACCTGCCTTCCGCATGCATCCTCTGGTGGCTGGCCAGATGGGAGCTGCATCGGAAACTCTTGCCACACTCAGAGCACCTGCTGGGCTTGTCATGCATGTGGGTTTTCTGGTGCCGGATCAGGTGGTGTCTTCGCCCAAAGCTCTTTTCACACTTGAGGCAGCTATAGGGCCTTTCCCCGGTGTGCGTTTGCTGATGCCTGGCAAGGTGGGAGCCCCACACAAACTGTTTCCCACACTGGGGGCATGTGTGCGGTCTCAGCAGTGAGTCCATCTCTGTGCTACACAGAAGATTTGAGAAGCTATCTTCCTGAAGAAACGGTGGGCCCAGGAGCATTCCTCTGGAGCTTCTGGGCATGGACTCCCAGCGCTCCTCCTGCTCCGGGTTCCAGAGAGCAGTCTCTTCAGATACACTGGAGAACATCCTGGGCGGTTCTGCTTCTAGTTCAGGGGTGTCCCCCTCGTGCTCACTTCCATCTCCTGCGGAGAAGGGGAAATACCAACCCCAAGATGGGAGTCACCAGAGCGGACCTCAGGACCCACGTCACAGGTGAGGTTGTCTGATGTCTGTTAGGGCCTAACCCTCACCCAACAAGGTCTGAGAGAACAGATTTCAGTGTTGTACAAGACAGCGCAAGAGGTGTAGAAGTTAGAAGCCTAGGCTTAGGAGACAGACTACCTAATTTTGAATCTCAGCTTTCCTACTTAATTTTTGTTAGCCTTCATTCCTTCTGTAAGATGTAAATAATTATAAAATAAATAGCACAGTACTTGCACCTAGTAATCACTAAGTAAATCCTCTGTGCTATTGTGCTTATTTGTTACTGTTTCTTTCTTTTTTTTTTTTTTTTAATATATTTTATTGATTTTGTACAGAGAGGAAGGGAGAGAGATAGAAAGCCAGAAACATCGATGAGAGAGAGTCATCGATCAGCTGCCTCTTGCACACTCCCTATTGGGGATATGCCCGCAACTAAGGTACATGCCCTTGACCGGAATCAAACCCGGGTCCCTTCAGTCCCCAAGCCGACGCTCTATCCATTGAGCCAAACTGGTCTCGGCTACTGTTTCTTTTTTTTACCACTGATCTTTCCTGTTAATTACCATCTTCCTGCCTAAGCATAAATAGAGAATTAAGGAATGTGCTGCAGTCATCACGGGCTGGCTGGCCACCTGTCAGCAATACCAGAGACGCTGTGGAAGCCCTTTCTGTAATAGGTGGGAAGTTGAACAGCAATATCAACAGTCATGGCAGCAGCTAACGTTTACTGAGTACTTTTTATGTACCTGGTGGTATTGTTCTACTATGCTAACATATTTAAGTCTCAGAGTAACTTACACGAGAGGAACCCAAAGAAAGGCTAATCACTTTAGGTCCTGAATTCAAATCCACAAAGTTTAGCTCCAGAAACCTGCTTTCTAAACCCGTTCTGCTATACTGTCTTGCTTTTGAAGAAAAAGACCTCTAAACATTTCGATTCTACAGCTCTCCGAGGCAGAGGAAGGATCGAGGGACATGGAATGATCACATTCCAAGAGGGATGAAGGCCGGGCCTGCAAGTCCACTCGAGGCTCTTACCTGTATATGTTACCCTCAGGATGTCCCTGTCCTCTAGGTCCTGTGGGTCAGGGACCCATTGTTCTTCCCCTCCTTCTAGTTGAGAAAGCATGTCCAGCTTAGGAATTGGAAATCCTGCCCACGGAAAAGGAAATAGGAATGTCAATTAGTACAACCGTAATTCTGTATTTCTGAGAAAAGCTGTTTCCTATATTATTCTTTGGAACTCTAGATAAAAGGCCAGATATAAGCTTCACCCTCCTCACCCCCTCCCATTTTTTAAGTTGCTCTTCTTTCCCCCCCAGAAAATCACACACCATTCCCCCAGTGTTCTCTTCCACTTACATTTCAAACATTTCCAACCCAAGTGTCCTTTCTGGTCACACCTTCCTTTAGTTAGCTCTAACACAGCTATCTCTCCATCCCTCCCCCTCCTCAACTTCCATCTTTTCCTAGATGGTTTTTGAGTTTCCAAGGGCTCCTTTCTATCTTAGACATCCTGCTCTCTGTTTTGTAAAAATCTGCCAATTCCCAACTGAGAAGAGCCTAAAGTTCTCTTCTCCATGGGTCAGCATTATTGTGCTGCTGTCTTTAAAAAATGTCGCCTCGCTTCCATTCTCCTTGAATTAGTCCTAGTGCTCTTTTTCTGGTGAAAGGATAGACAGATCCCCTGACAAGGAAAGAACCATTGACAGACACTATCCAACAGTGCTGGGGCACAGGGTTCATCCCCCCAGAGTACAATCTTTTTTAGTGGCGGGGGAAGATCATGCTTACTTAGAGAGACCACTATCCCACAGTTTTCTTGCATGACATATTCTCCATAAAAGTCTGTCTGAGAAGGGTCCAGGCTCCGCCACTCCTCCTGAGAGAAGCACAGTGACACATCCTTGATGGTGACCAGGCCCTGAAACAAAACGTAGCATCATCTGTCACCAGCTGTTTCTTAAGGAAAATATGATCCCAATATGAAAGGATGGGGTAGTAGGAGAGAGAGGGCAAGAGAAGATCTGGAAAAATCATTACCCAGAGGCCCCTGGGTGAAGGGGAAATGAGGAGAGGGGTAAAGGTAATGATCAGTAAGTGAGGTTAGTATCTCTAGAGGAGTTTCCCAAATGGGACTAAAAGTCGGAGACACCAGAAAATCACTGCTCTGTTAACTATATGTGTCTGCCCAATCTCTTATTATTTCCATTGAAAAATCTGTTTTATGCTTTCCTTCTTCCACTTGACCATACCTTTTCTATCAGCACAACATGATATAGATACGATAAGGACACATATGTACTACCTTAATCAATAAAGAAAAAAATTTCTAAAATGATATAAATAGCTGAAACTGGTTTGGCTCAGTGGATAGAGTATCAGACTGCGGACTGGAAGGTCCCAGGTTCGATTCTGTTAAGGGCATGTACCTGGGTTGCGGGCACATCCTCGGTAGGGGGTGTGCAAGGGGCAGCTGATTGATGATTCTCTCTCATCGATGTTTCTAACTCTCTATCCCTCTCTCTTCCTCTCTGTAAAAAATCAATAAAATGTATTTTTTAAAAATTTTAAAAATAAAATGATATAGATAAAACATTCACCCCCACGCCTACCATGTCATATTCATATCATCTAAGGCAACATAGTATGATGTTTAGGAGTCCGGATTCTGGAGCCAAATAACTTCTAGCTCTGCCATTTACTAGCATTATGGCCTTACACACGTGCCTTAGTCTCTCCCTGCCCTTTTCCATAAATGCCCCATCATCCACCCAGTCTTGTCTACTTCATGCTCTTCCAAGCTTCCTTCAGGTCCTCTTTCCCTAATCGTCACACACTTACCTTTAAAGAATATTAAGGAATTGTTCTTAAAATCTCCTGTGGCTAACACAGCCATCTGATAAAAACAACAACGCGCCTGGCTTCTAGGAATTCTCCTCTTCTTGTTATGGCTTCATTCATTTCTAAAGGATATTTTGAGCCTCTTGGGAAGGGATAGAATCTATTCCCTTATAAGATGAACATACTTTCTGTGACCACGTGAAATGACCATTCAGTGGGAGCGTGCTAAGGCTTACAGAAAGGCAACAGTGACGAGGCGCCTGGGAGAGGCCCAAGGCAGCACACAGCCCACCTGTGATCCGGCTGCAAGCAGTGCCGCTGCCATCTCCCAGTCTCCGGTGCTCCCCTCCTGGGGAACGGCAGGAACCCAGGGAGCCGACTGAGCTGGTGAGGGGAGAAAGGAACCATTAGAGGCGTACCATTCATCCTTTCCCAATAAGAGCTGAGGCCCCATTTTAGCAGAGCTTAAGGGTCACAGTTTTTCTATATCTATGCCCATTGGTAAGACTCAAATGCAGAAATATAGTAGAAGAGACCTTCACTCAGAATGTTCAGTAAGGGTATTGAGTGGCTTTTAGTAATCTTTCCTGTCTTCTATCTCTACTACACTGGCTATGGTATGAATTTATATTATTTAAATGTAACTTTCATCTTGTAAAGTGTATCTTTCTGAGTGTGTTCTCCAATAGCAATCTGTGTTGCTGTCACTTCCTTAGTCTCCCGTATTTGGTACCACTAATTTGCACTTGGATGTGGAGGGAATGGGTATATAAGAAGTCAGGAAGCCGGGACCGGTTTGGCTCAATGGATAGAGCGTCGGCTTGGGGACTGAAGGGACCCGGGTTCGATTCCGGTCAAGGGCGTGTACCTTGGTTGCGGGCAGATCCCCAGTGGGGGGTGTGCAAGAGGCAGCTGATCGATGACTCTCTCTCATTGATGTTTCTGACTCTCTATCTCTCTTCCTTCCTCTCTGTACAAAATCAATAAAATATATTAAAAAAAAAAAAAAAAAGAAGAAGTGAGGAAAACCTCATTGTGTGGCTTGCAGAATACAAGAGCTCCTTCTCTTCCTGTGATCAGGGCCAAGGAAGAATGGACTAGCTGCGGTACTGATTATGCTGTTCAGTTCAAGGCAATTGGGGATTTTTAACTCTACTCTCTGAACAGAGATCAGGAGACTACTCTGCACTGAGCACCCCCCACACCCTCCAGACGCTCACCCTTTTCCTGAAGGGACTGTGGCTCTTCTTCAAGGTCACAGCACAGGTGTTCCAGTGGCCCTGGTGCCATTCTCCATGGCCCCTCCTCGTGGCTTCTCCTCTCCATCTGGGGCTGTGCTCCATCCAGCTGGACATTCATAGACTCCCATCCTGTCCCTAGGGCTGCCGTCTGTTCTGAAAGCATTTTTGCTGCGAACCCAAATTGTGACCTGGAACAAATTCATAGCAACAGTTCCCATGAAAATGGAAAGGGCTGATATTCCTAAGGGAGTTAGGGAGACAGCAAAGGGATAAAGGATGAAACTGGATAATAAAAGCTTGATGGAAGATGAACTTTAAAAGCTTGATATAGTCCAGTCAACTGAGCCTGAGCCAAGCTTCTTGCAGGAACTAAGAAATGAACAGGTGCACAGAGAAAACTCGCTAATGGCTATTTTGAGAACCTTGTGATAGAAACATAATATCCCTGAAGGCTACAAGAACTTCATTTAAGAAAAATAAAGGAACAATCCTAAAAAATTCAAAAGCAATCCGTTAATTCCAACCACTGAAAAAGACAATAAAGTAAATAATCTGGAAACATGCAGACTTGCACCCAACAAAAATGGACATAATCACTTATAATATTTTCTGCCACAAATTCCATTCACATTGATTAGAATGGATAATTACTATAGGTAAAAGTCCCAGCTAAAGCATGTATTTGTGTCAAGAGAACTTTTGTTTCTAACAGGGGGGAGGGGGGGGGGAAACAACACAAAAAACAAAAGTGAAGAAAACAGAAAATATGGTCATTGGAGAAAAGTTAAAAACATGGACATAGTTTTGTGTTGGTTAAGAAAGGCTAATGAATGATACTACCGAAGAATAAAGAGAAACGTTTTCAATTTCTATAGAGATCTCGTGTGTGTGTGTGTGTGTGTGTGTGTGTGTGTGTGTGTGTGTGTTTTAAGATCCTCAACCAAGGACATGCTTATTGACTTTAGAAAGAGAGGCAGGAAGGAGGGAGGAAGGAGGGAAGGAGAGAGGGGAAAGAGAGGAAGGAGAGGGGGAGAGAGAGAGAGAGAGAGAGAGAGAGACAGACAGACAGACAGACAGACAGACAGACAGACAGACATGTGCAAGAGAAACATCGATCTGTGTACAAGACGATGCTCCAACTAACAGCCACACTGGCCAGGGCCAGATCTCTTCTTCTGGTGGCAAGAGAAGAGGTTTAGGTTTTTAAACATTCTCACTAATAATCCAGCAGTGCACAGGACTGCGTGTGTGGGCTCTCCTTTTCTCTGGACATCTTAAAAGCAGGACAGGTCCCACTTGCGTTGTGACACAGGCCTTGCTGTCTATGGCACAGAAACAGTCTGTGACACTCCCCAGAGTCCCTTCCTCCTTGGCAGAGCTTTGGTAACCACTCTGGCTCCCTCCTATCTACCCAACAACGTTTGCACGAACCCAAGATCCCAGGATGGGTGATGACAGATACCAAGTTGTTTATTTTCTTGCCGTTTCTCTTTGACAAAAGCGGTAGGTGGGAACCCTAGGCCCAATGCACAGAAAGAGAACAAATTCCCCTTAAATCTCAGAAGTCCGGACGCCCCAGGGCCTCATGGGTGCATCCTAGACTGATTCCCAGTTTAGGTTTCCTTTTCAGAGACATCTCACAAGAAAGGAAAATTCCCAATAAAGCAAGAAAGAGAAACTTCCATTTTCGTTTTCTCCTCTGAATTCTGGCCCCTGTATTCGCTTCACCTTTAACATACACACAAGGCACCCATTCATCCTCTCTGCCACAGGTCTTCCCTGCTCTCCAGCTCCCTTCACAAATCCTCCTCAAGACTTTACCTCGAGCTAAGTATCTGGACACCTGTCTCCAACCTATTTCTCCACCTCCCCAGCAGCAGAGTCCCTTGATAGGGGCATTTCCCCAAGAGCCCACTGGGCCAGCTGGGAGCCTCCCCAGACCACTGTCACCACCGGCCAAGTGCTGGCAAGAAATCTCAACACAGGAGGGCGGAGGTACCTGTCCTCAGACTGCATCTCCTCAGATGTTTGCTCTCTGGCAGTGAAGGTGTCAGCCCTAACCTGGTTTCTCCTGGCCCCAGGACAACCCCAGGCCTACTGGCATCGGGTTCTAGGTTTTCCATTTCCTCTTTTTCTCGCATATCTGGGGGGCGGGGGGAGGAGGCCCGGCAGGCACCTGCAGAAGTTAGTTTTTGCAGCAGGTGCGGCTGGACAGATAAGGGGCCGCGGTACTGACAGGAGTGGCCCAAGGGCACGGGGATGAGCGGCGCTCAGCGGGGCAGCGAGGCCCCGGCCCCGGGCAAGCGGGCGGGCGTGGGCCCGCTGGGCGCCGCCGGGGAGTAGGGCTCCTCCTCCCCGCTCCTTGTCACGGTGCCCTGCAGGGGGTCACATTTCAGAGTATCTCTCCGAGGCCGGCGGGGCGGGAGCCGGGGAGTGAGGTCAGAAGACAGGTTTCCCGAGAACTGGGGCACAGGAGCGAGCGGAGAGAAAGGGGCCGCGGGCAGCCCGCGCGCCGGTGCCAGCGGGGAGCCCCGGGGCGGACAGCGGCGCCGGCGCCGCGGGACACCTGGCGGCGGGCGGCCAGCCTGTCAGGGGGCCCGACCCGGGGAAGGAGCGGCCCCGAGGCCGCGGCAACCCTCCTCCCGCCCCCACGGTGCCCGGCCCCCGCCCGCCGCCCCGGGGAGCCGGCGTCCGCCCTCCACTCGCGACGGCCGCCCGCCGCCCGCACTCACCCGGTCGGCCTGGCCCGCCGCCCGGGGCCTCCTCCCGGCCCCGCCCGCCCGCCCCGCCCTGCGCCCTGCGCCCCGCGCCCCGGAGCTGCGGCCGCCGAGCCGGCGCCGGGCGGAGACGGCCGGGCGAGCGCGGCGGGGCGGGCACAGGAAACCCCGCCCGCTTCCGGGGCTCCGGGCCGCGCGGGGGGTGCGGGGGGCGGGCCGCGGGGCCCAGACGTCCCGGTCCCGGCTGCCGGGGCCGCCGCCGCTCCCGGCCAGACCGCTCCCCGGCCCGGCCCGCCCGCAGGGTCCTCCGCACCCGGTTCATTCATCACCGCGCGTTCCGTGCCCGCCAGCCGCCGGCCCGGAACCCCCCAGGGACTCACCTCCTAGGGGTCCGGATAGCGGGGCTGGCAGCCGGAGGGAGCACCGCGGAGGAGGCGCTCCTTCCCAAGGGGCATGGATGGATGGCCAGGGGGACTCCACCCAGACCGCAGGCCTTGCAGCTGCATTGTCCGATTTGCAGGAGCCGCGAGCCGCATGCGGCTGCTGAGCCCTTCTGTGGACTTCATTAAGAAAATGTAAAAGAGCTAACACGCAGTATTTTGGACATATTGGGTTAAAATTTATTAACATGAATTTTGCGTACTTTTAGCTTTTTCGTGTGGTTACTAAAATGTTTACGTTTTGCATATGTGGCTTGCATGAACTTTAATTAGAACAGAGCTACTTCAACGCATGAAGATGAATTTGACTGGGAAAGATGAGAAAGGCCTAGCCAAACATAATAAACACATTACCATTAGAATCCTCTTTAGAATCTACAAGTTACATTCATTGTTTCTCATCACAACAGCTCTGTAAAACCTTACAGGCTTCAAAAATATGTGATTCCCACAGATGACAAGCATTTAACATATATTTATTTTTTTCTTATGTGCCAGGCACTGTAACTCAATGCTGGGAGTCCAAGATCCTAAAGGAGCTGTCTGTGGATTTGAGGACTCATTTAAGAAATATTTGCAATAAAATGCAGTGGATGCTAAAATGGAGGAATATATTTCGCACTGAGTGCAAAGGAGTGAACATACACGAGAGAGAGGTCAGAGACCACCTCGCACAAGTCTTGAGGCAGAAGAGTGGGGAGGGCTCCATAGTGAGGAGAAGGAGAATGTGCTAGACATGCACTTGGGAGTGGGTATGGAGCAGATTCTAGGATATGGGGTGGGAGGAGGGGAGTGGTAGAACCAAGATTTCTATCTCAGGTCCTGGAACTAAGTCCAGCATAGACTCTCCTCTTCTCTACTTTGGGAAATAAATTGATGTGAGATTGTATCCAAAACAAACAAAACTGAGAAAAATAAGCTTTGGCCTAATGGCACCATAATGAGTCATTAATATTTAATAAATATCTACTGTATGCCAGAACCTTGTCTTAAACATCACTGGGGTGGAGGTGGGGATGTGAAATACCTTTATATTATGCTTTCAATGTGCATCTTTTTAGCTGTTAATAAAAAAACTGTGCAGTGTAGATGTTATCTCAGCATGGGTTCAGGGGCATTAAGTAAGCCAAAAGGCAAAATTGGGAACTGGGCCTGGCCTTAGACTTATAATCTGGTGCACTAGTCACCAGAGTGGTATCTTAACCTTTCACAGTAATATATGGACAAACTCCGACATGCTAGTAATGTTATAAGGTGGAGTAATTAAATATGCACTGAGTAGTAGGCAGATGACTCCATCTTTTTAAGACTTTCTGGTGGAATTGTTTCAAGATCAGCTTTGAAGGCAAAATGCAGGAAGAGCATCTTGGATAGAATCAGAGGGGAGAAATGGACATGTTGTGTGGCATGCTATGGGCTAAAGAACAGAATTGTGGGGATGTCTAGAGTATAGAAAAAAAGGAAATGGGGACATTGACAGAAAGATTAGAATAGTGGGTCAGGGATTTTTATTTGCCATGTGAAGTAATAGGGAGTCACTGTATTTAGTACTGTAAGGAAGTGATATGCCTGATGGGTCTAATTATACCATTCTTGGTCCTTGACTGCCCTGTGGATAGAGTTCGGAACAATAGAATGGGATGAACTAACTGCCACTAGCCAGATTCTAGCACATGGAATGCAGAGTTCCTTGGAACAGAGCAATGTTCTTCCTGGGGCTCAGGAAGAGCCCCAGACACTTAAGGTTCCAAGTTCTCCACAGGACTTCAGGAAAGCTCAAGAGATTGAGTCTCTTGCCTGTCAGTCTTGGCTTCTTCATTTCTAAACTCCTAGTCTGATGTGGTTTGAATAAGAAAGTATTCACCAATTTGTGTAATGAATTATCATCTTGGCTTATAAAAGCCTGTTTCTCCATAATGAAACCATACCTTCAATTACTAATTAGGACCTAACCACCATTTATGACACGTATTTTCTTCCATTCAAAGTTTTGAAGCTTGACATCAGAGATAAATTTTCTATCGACACAGCAGTGGAAATTTTTCCTTCCTCTATGCCCATGACTATAAAGGAAAGAGGAAGGCTGAGGGAAATTTCAGGTTAGAACTCCTGTAAGAGAAAGGGTAAGAGCCTCTCTAGTCAGTAGGAATAATTATAACTAACATTTGTAGAACACTTTACAATGTTCAAATTTCTTTTGTATACATGTGATCTTCCAAACTCAATGAGTTAAATTATCTTTATCCCTAGTTTAAGGTTAAGGAAATAGTGGTTCAGCCATTTAAAATTGTAGAACCTCTACTTTTTATTTCTATAATCTGGAGCAGGTGTGTGTGTGTGTGTGTGTGTGTGTGTGTGTGTGTGTGTTTTAAATATATTTTATTGATTTTTTTACAGAGAGGAAGGTAGAAAGAGTTAGAAACATCCATCAGCTGCCTCCTGCACGCCCCCTTCTGGGGATGTGCCCCCAACCAACGTACGTGCCCTTGACCGGAATCAAACCCAGGACCCCTCAGTCCGCAGGCTGATGCTCTATCCACTGAGCCAAATCGGTTTCAGCTGTGTGTGTGTTTCTTAATAAAATGGATGTCATTATACCTAGTACTTTTCCAGGTTGTTTTGAAAGTAAAAAGGATGATGCAAATAAACAATTTAACGCATAATAAGAATTCAATAAATGATAACACCTAGGAATTGAAGCTGGATAATGGTTGAAAAGAGGACTTTAGTAGGATGATGGAACGGGCCAAGATGGGATGAAAGATAAATGTATTCCTGAGTCTCAATGAGGTAGACAGACTATTGGAGTGAGCTGAAAATGTAGGTGGCAGAGTGGGGTGTTTGAACTGGAGATGAGGGGTGGCAGTTGTTAGTAATGACCATGAGAGTGAGTTTCTGCAGTGATGGAAAAAGATCATTTAAGGTAAGAGAAAGTCAAGGAACTGAGAGGTTAGGACAGTGATCAGCAAACTCATTAGTCAACAGAGCCAAATATTAACAGTACAACGACTGAAATTTCTTTTGAGAGCCAAATTTTTTAAACTTAAACTTCTTCTAACTCCACTTCTTCAAAATAGACTCGCCCAGGCCATGATATTTTGTGGAAGAGCCACACTCAAGGGGCCAAAGGGCCACATGTAGCTCGCGAGCTGCAGTTTGCCGACCATGGAGTTAGGGAGTTAAGTGGGATAGTATTCAAAGTATTTAACTACTGGTAATGGCATGGACATGAATCCATCAAAATGGATGTAGGTTAAAGCGCTGGTGTGGGGTCCTGCAGGCACCAGGGGCTGTGAAAATATTTCAGTATTTTAATAATCATACTTGAACAATTTAACCCAGGGCATAAGATGAATTGTCCACAAAGGTATTGAAGTCACCAGGAATGAAGATGGGGTTGTGGAGAGTGAAATAGCAATCCGGTTGAGGGAGTCTTTAATGAAAGAAGGTGAATGACCAGGAGGGTGGCAGGGGATGATAATAAGGAAAGGCAGTGTGTGCAGTGGTTTGATGGCATGTGCTTCAAAGTAGCAGAGCATTATTTAGGGAGGAAGGAGGGAACTGATGCTTGAGGCAGCAAAGAGAACACTTCCTCTACTTCTAACCTTAGGTGGTGTAAAGCAGCGATTTTCATCTAGATATTTATTTGAATATAAATATTTATTTGAAAGCAATCACTTATATAATTGAAACAAAATTTTAATGAAACAATATGCACCTTAACTACATGTAGCATATACTAACATTTTCTATTTTATTACTTTATTTAAAAGTATTCTACTTAGCCGAAACCGGTTTGGCTCAGTGGTAGAGCGTCGGTCTGTAGACTGAAAGGTCCCGGGTTCGATTCCGGTCAAGG